GCCTCCTTGAAGTTAGTGGTCCTAATCCAATTTGGGCCAGTGTGCATCTCCCCAAATACACTCAAACTGAAAACATTCTGGAACAGGGGTCTTCAAACTTGGCCCTTTTATGACTTGTGGACTTCAACTCCCAGAATTCCTCAGCCAGACACGCTGGGAGTTGAAGTCCACAAGTCATAAAAGAGCCAAGTTGGAAGACCCGTTCTGGAACAATTTATACCTTAAATACTATGTAGTTTAGCCCTCAGAATTAGCTGCTAGTAACTAGATACTGACACCTTTGCTCAATTTACAAAAACTCTTCCACAAATATCCCTATTAATGTTTCTGCACTTATTTGCCTATCTGATATCTATACTAATCAGTTCTTACTCTCAGTCTATATTTGACTGCTCAACAACAGGCTGAATCTATATTTGACTGCTCAACAACAGGCTGAATCTCCAGAAATGAGCAGACTTGCAAGGGGTCTTAACTCCTTTAAATTGTACTCCAGTTCACCATTTAAGGTCAGCTTTGATTCAATTAAAAGCATTTCCTTTTTATTAATCTTTAGTCTTGATAAGCCACTTTTGATGATAGAGAAAGTAGAAGTCAAGCCTAGACTAATACAGTCCTATTGATATTTATTTGGAAGTAAAAATATCCAAAAAAGGAGATGTAATTTTTCAAGACTGAAATCATATTCCAGATCTGGCTGCAACAATGCAGATGACCTTGAGAGAGCAAAAACAATTCATCTGGAATTCTGCATCCCAGACCTACACTAGTAGTCTTAGATTACACTCTACTAATAAACCCCAGGCTGTTAAATGTTGAATCAAAGATGTTACAAAAAAATTAGGGTCTTTATTATTCCAAACTTACAAGAGAAAAAAGTTATTCAAAGCAACATTAGAATTTATCTACTCCTTTAAAACAGACAAATGAAACAGCTGTTTTGACATTTATTGATTAAACCCTTCCATTAAGTTTACATTCTATTTTCAAAGAAAACAATTAACATGCCTCTGAGTTACTATGTATTCTCAAAACTATTTTTAAAAAACAAATTCCAGAATGGGACACATTATTTTAATTTGTTTTCTGGGTCACTTTTCTACAGTTTGCAGCGAGCTTTCACTAAGGTGGTCCCATTCATTTGTGCTGGATGAAAACTTGTCACAATAACCAGTTTGAGAGAACTGGACTACAAAAGATTGATTTGCAAAATAAAAAATGAACCTTGCTCCTTTAAGAGTTGGTTCCAGCTCTTTATAGCCAACGCCAGCAAATTCTATTTCAACCTTTCAGCTTTGTTTGTTCCCAAGATCCTAGATACCATTGCCCAAAACTGCCTACAGATCTGGCTGCCCTTTTCAGACTAACAGTTGCTTTCTTATTTTCTTAAAACTTTACTAGCAATCTTTTCCTGTTGCTAGACCACCTCCCTCTCTTTGTTCTTTTACCATGCCATTGCACACAGCAATTCTCCTCCACACCTAGCCAATTCTAGCTGATTTCAAAACACTAAGCAGGATTAACTAAAGAGTGCTTGGATGGGAGACTACCAGGAGATCCCAAAGCTATAGGCTAAACCAGTGGTTCTCAACCTTTTTAATGCCGTGACCCCAACCGGTCATAAATCGAGGACTAAACCAGTCGTAAGTTGAGGACTAAACCGGTCGTAAGTCGAGGACTAAACTGGTTGTAAGTTGAGGACTACCCAACCGGTCGTAAGTCGAGGACTTTCCCTGCCCGGGAGCGCCACGCATGTGTGGTTCCGCCCCCTGCGCCAGCCGAGGCGTAGCTGGCAAGCGGCAGAGACGGAGCAGGCCGACCACCAGCTGGCCCAGCCCAAGGGAGGTAAGGCACCCACCGGAAAAGGGGAAAAAAATGGCGGACAAAAAAAATGGCGGACAGCCTTGCTTGGCAACCCTCATGAAATGGTCGATCGACCCCAAATGGGGTCCCGACCCACAGGTTGAGAACCACTGGGCTAAACAGAGTTAAAAAAAATATCCCCAAAGAAGGGAATGGCAGAACAACCTCATTCTATTACCAAGACCATTATATTACGTTTGTGTCCACAAAGTCACTAGGGGTTAAGGTCATCTGAGGACGTCATTAACTTGGTTTGTTCTCTTTCAGCTACTAAGGAAACAAATTATACAATGATGCAAAAGGCACATACTCTTTGACAAGGCAATATTTACAACTCATTAGAAAATTGAGAAATGCTATTTTGTTGGCTGTATTCTTTTCATTAGTCAGCATGGTATAATGCAAGATCAAAATCTTCCTATCTAATCATTACACAAACAAAGTATAACAGTAGATCTGTAGCAAAAAAGATGTCCCTAGGGATAGGCAGCCTAGCATTCTCTAAATTTCTGAACAACTCCCACCAGCTCTTTTCTTGTGCAAACTGGCTCAAGCTGATGGAGGGAAAGGCTGAAACATTTATAGAGTAGCAGATCAGAACACATTCCCACAAAAAGTAATGCAGGTTTCATCCCATGTTACTATTTTTATATTACGCCCAGAGGGGGGGGGGAATAAAACCTTGGCATCTATCCCAAGAATGACATAAATGAAAAAAAGAGAACTTTTTCCCATTTCAGAAAAGATGCCCGAGCTCCTTTTTCTTGTTACAATGGAGCTGCAACTCCCTCACTCACACTTCTCCATTACAGCTAGCCTTCACTTACCAACCACTCATTCAGTACCCATTAAGTTATGACAGTGGTGAGAAACAAGACTTATAACTGGTCCATGAAGTTGTGGTCTTAGCTGTGTAGCCAGTGTTTTTTTTTTATTGCAATTCAGGCACCTTGCAACTCACACATATTTTATGATGGTTGGAGCACCCCGCAGTTATGTGGCTACCATTGCCAGTTTCCAACAAGCAAAATCAACAGAGAAGGGGGGGGGGGTGTAGAGCCATGGTCCCATGGCATCATACTTAACATGACATTACACAGTGCCACTCAGTGACAGAGTTGCCGGTCCCAATTGCAGTTGGCAAGGTCTTCCCCTATGCTCATGAAAGCAATCAGAAAGCTGTAAATACAAATTGAAGGCAAACTTCTCTGAAGTTTTGACATCTATTCAGCCTTGCAAGTACATCAGTGCAAATAAATTTATGAAAATGCAAAGCAGAAATACCTAATACACTCTGTTATCCTGACACTGGGATTTACTACATATTTCCGTACTTTCAATTTTATATTTTAATTGTATTGCAAAGGCTGAGATTGCATAGCACGATACCATTAATATATTTGGCAAATTTTCGACTCAAGTACAAGGAGCTAATTTTTGGCTCAGTTAACCCAGATTACCAGAGTATGCCAACAGAACCAAAATACCATGTTAGAATTCAGAAAGTAAACTTACACATTAAAAATGAGCATAACAGTCTCCCCTATTTTTTAAATGACCAATTTTGGACATTAATCATTGTTTAATATATTCTAAAGCCTGCTATAGGAGGGGTGCCCAATCTCTGGGCTGTGGACCGGTACCAGTCTGCAGCCTGTTGGGAATGGGCCGCACAATGCGTGGGTGAAACCATCCCTCCACCCGGGTTCATGGAAAAATTGTCTTCCACAAAACCAGTCCCTGGTGCCAGAAAGTTGGGGACCTCTGTGCTATAAAACAGGGGTCCCCAACCCCCAGTCCATGGACCAATACCGGGCAGGCAAGCAAAGCCCCATCCGTGGGATGCAGGCAGCATACGAAACCACACACTTTCCAGTCCATACCTTTCTCCACGTAACCGGTCCCTGGTGCCCAAAAGATTGGGGACCTCTGCTATAGAACGTATGTGTCTCTGTGTTTGTATGGTCTTATTATATATGCTGGTCCAAAACAAATGTTGCAACTTTCTGGAACCACTATTAAAAAAAACCCAAGTCTCTGAAATCCATCATGTGAACTCAATTTCCCAAACTGGAATCCCATAGATGTGATTGGAATTGTAACTTCCAGAAGTCAGGAACTGCAGACCAGGAATTTTGGAAACCGCAGTTCCAACTGGTGGGCACCAGGCTGGGAAAAAGGGATCTGTAGTTACTCCATCTAAGTAAAAGACATATATATATTTGGAGTGACAACACTGGGTAAACCATCAAATTCAGGATATTAAGACACAGGAGGCGCACTCACGCTATCAACTCTAAAAGCAGGACAAGGTAAACATTGGTCTCACCACAGCCCTTTTCACTTTCTGCCACTACGCAGGTCGTCCAAAAGAAAGACGGTGGCCTAAACAGCTAGATGAATTACGATTAAAGTTATTTGTAGAAATAATCCACGTAACACAGCTGCCATTGTCTTTCCTTGGGGAAAAAAAAAAAACCCAAAGCAATCAAGTGTTCCTGTGTTGGGAGCGGCTATCTCGTTAGATCCATTTTCACAGAACAAACCCACTAGGTAGGACAATTCTGATCCCTTCCCTCCCTCCGCGGATTTCCGAAACAAAAAGTTGGATGTCCAACCAAGGCTCCTGCCTCCTGCAGCTCAAATAAGATGAACCTTCATCTCTCCTCCCCCCCCCCAATACACACACACACACACACACACACACCGCCTCTTTTCCAAAGCAGATCCAAATCGAAAGGGTAGGGGGGGAAGGATTTCTAAAGCCCGGACCTTCCCTTCCCCGCCTCGCCGCAACAGCCGGCGCGATCCCGAGTTATATATATTAAAAAAAAACAATACAAAGAGCAAGAAACGCCCGCAGCGTCCTTTCACACATGCGGCCTCCACTCCCGCTCGCCACAGAGTCACTTTCAAGGAACTTTGTGGGCCTCCAACAAGCCAAGCCCCTCTTTCTCTCCTCGCCCCCCTCCCCACACACACACACGCGAGACAAAGAAGATGGGAAGGACGCGGAGTTGTGCTTCCCCGCGGAAGATCTCAAGGGCTCGCCCAGGTAGCCTCGCGCGCCCTCCCCTCGCAGCCAGGCGGGCGCCCCGGAGAGCCCCGGAATGCGCCCTGCACCAACACCCCGGTACCTTTGCCTGGCGAGCCGGGTGGTCGAGAGCGGCTCGGATTGCTTGCACCAAAGTGTTCCGCCGAGACAGCGAACAACCGCGGCTCCTCCCGAAGAGACCCCGCCCAGCTCTCTCTCGCGGCTCCGGCAGCTGCTTCGGTGTTTTGCAAAGTGTTTGCATAAACTCTGATCTTTCCGAGACGCCTAGCGGAAGGACGGGACCATTGCTGCCTGGGGGGGGGGGGAAGAGACGGAGTGAGGACGCCGAAGCGCCCCCAGGGCTGGAAGTGAAATTCGGGTCCCGGGAAGGGAAGTCGACGCCTGTTAAACGGAGGTCACACGAGACACGCTGTCTGGGGATGTAGGTGTGTGGGTGTGAGGGTGATGTCACCGGGTAGCCTTGTGAGATGACTGACCTCTTTCCTGGCGTTGGCTGCAAGTAAATGGAGCAACAAGACTTGAAAGCAAGCTGAGCTTAACTCCCGATGACTTTTATCCATGATGTGGCCATCTCAAACCCAATATGAAAGTAGTCCCCAAAGTGCTTTTTCAAAAGGCAGCTTGGACCTTCGTTTTTTTCCTTTGTTTTTCAAAGAAAAGCAAAGTCCAGTTGCCTTTTGAAAAAGCAGCTTTGAGACAACCATGATCTGGATGTCCCAAAGGTGCTTTTTTTCAGCAGGCAACAAGGAAGTCCAGTTGCCTCCTGGAAAAAAGCGCCTTTGGGACAACCATACCTGGATGACTGAGAATTCTCCATAGACAACATGAAAATAATTATCTTCTATCTAAGATTTTATTTCGGTTGCAGTTTAACCTATCCGGTTTTCCCTCCAAGAACAAGCCAGGCCTCTTCTCATTTAACTTTGCAAGAGTAGTCAGGGTCAAATAGATGCTGCTGCCTATTTGGAATAACAAAACTGACTTGTCTTTATTGCAGTTATGAATAGTTCAGCTTTTGTTGTTGTTAGTTGCAAAGTCGTGTCTGACCCATCGCGACCCCATGGACAAACGTTCCTCCAGTTCAGCTTTTATAACATGGTTATTCTTGGTTGATTGAAAGTTGATTGAGGTTGGTACGTTTGTACTTCCACAAAGTTACTACTAGGCTAAAATATGGTTGATTCATTTGTGACTTAATGACTTACACAAATAGAACTATAATCTACCATAAAGGAAGTTAGAGAATGGAAATGCTTTTTTAAAAAAAAAACAATTCATAGTTCATGCTTGCAGTCTTAAAGAGGAAACATTTTTGTAAACTCATTAAATTTTAAATTAAAAACCGGATTCTGAATATATCAATACACTGCACTGCAAAGAGCTATTACAAGAAGCAAAAAAAAAAACAAAATGTGGTTTTGGGAATAGGGCAAAGTTAGGGAATAAGGACTCCAGAGATAATATGGTAGTTTGCCTTCCCAGAAACTATTACAACCTCATTAATGATTGAAAACATGTAATTATCCACTGCTGTGCAGGTTCTGAGGTGTTGCTTGATAAAAAAAAAATACAGGGAACCAGAAGTTGCCTTCAAGCTTTACGTTTTTATTCAGCTGAACAAAGAGGGGCTCCTCTAAAAGAGAGAAAACCCCCCGAATGTCAGAAAATCCCTATTTTTATACCTTTTTGATTACATAAGCAATTCACCCAGCAAAGCTGACACACATAAGTTAAAGACCTGTAAGGCTGGCACACTGTAGATAAGAAGGGAGAAAGCAGAAGTAGCTAAAAAATGTTCCCTTTTGGGTGTTTCCCTAAAGACATTGTACGTTCCTGGCTGGATTAGGACATTGGGTATTTTCCTTGCTGTCCTTTCATGACCCTGCATCCATGACTCTGCAAGTGCCCAAAGACAGCAGGGCCATCTGCACATATTCACAATTGATACTTCCTATGCTGCCCCCTAATTCTTAGTTCATTTTCCTATCCAAATTGCTAAACTATGTGAACAGTGAGGAATTAACATTTTCAAAGAATCCTATTTCATAACTGTTGGACTTTAAAAAAAAAACTATTTTTATTTGTTACCCTATCTATATCTTGCCTTTTTTTCCCCCCCTGAGAATTTAAAGCTAGGATTAGAGAAGGCAAACATCCTGGGGAATTGGCTGGTTATTCCACTGCTATAAGAAAGTTGCTATAATTTCCAACATTGCATTTATGGCTTTCTGTTCTACAAACAGGACTGTTCGTGTGTGCAGAATACAGAGAGGTATGGCTGACAAAAGTTCCTAAAATGCCAAATGCCATCATTTGAGTGTTGTCCAGCATCCATGGTGTGGATTTGCTGCTTTTTTAATAGTGCTCTCAAACCACCAAATTTGGTTAAATGAATGGGAATCCCTGAAAGTTAGGAAAGCATATATGCATAAATGGCAGTACTACAGAACTTCTTGTTACCGGTATTCATGCAACTCAGGGTGAAGAAAAAATGAACCTCTTAAGTTTAAACTTTTATATTTTACTTTCTGTTAAACCAGTGGTTCTCAACCTGTGGGTCGGGACCCCATTTGGGGTCAATCGACCATTTCATGGGGGTCACCAAGCAAGGCTGTCCGCCATTTTTTTGTCCGCCATTTTTTTTGTCCGCCATTTTTCCCCCTTTTCCGACGGGTGCCTTACCTCCCTTGGGCTGGGCCAGCTGGTGGTCGGCCTGCTCCGTCTCTGCCGCTTGCCAGCTACGCCTCGGCCAGCGCAGGGGGCGGAACCACGCATGCGCGGTGCTCCCGGGCAGGGAAAGTCCTCGACTTACAACCGGTTTAGTCCTCGACTTACAACCGGTTTAGTCCTCGACTTACGACCGGTTGGGGTCGCGGCATTAAAAAGGTTGAGAACCACTGTGTTAAACAAAAAAAAAGAACAATACACACACCTGCTTCTGATCTACTTTAGTCCTTATTCTTTTAGTTTCTACTGAGAGATATGCTGACTTATCCACCTCAGTGCAATATGTCCTCTTCATTAATAGTGTCCTGCAAAAACAGAGATGATAGACTTGGAGAAACTTCTTTTTCTTGCTAGAAGCCTCTCTTTTTAGAAAGGGAAATGAGTCATCGTTTTCCTAATGAAGACTCTTCAAAGGGAATTTATTTTCTGTGCATTCTTAAGTAAACAAAGCCTGAGGGCACAAATAGATGTGAAATATGTCCTGGCTTGAAGGGATGACGCTAAACACCTGTTTTGAAAAAAAAATACATATAGCATCAGCTGATGGAGAATGGTGTCTGATAATTTGCAGCAAAGCTGGAGGAAAACATTAATTCTTGCTTTCCCTACTCTTTCATTGATTTTTCAATTAATACACCTGATTCTCAAGCTGATGGTATTTAGATGTTTAAAAGTGTACCTATTAAATGAGAAAACACTTTAGCTTCACTTGTATTGTAATCCTGAGACACCAGTACAAATATGAATGATGCTGTGATATTTTATAAAAGCTAGAAAAATGTTTCGAGTACACTTTCTAAGCATACAGGGAGATAGTTCTAGTTCTTTCATAACATGTGTATATTTTGAAATTATTCCTTTGTCTATATTTCTGATATATTTGATGACTGGTAGCAGTTTATTATTATTATTATTATTATTATTATTATTATTATTATTATTATTAATTGGTTCTTGTAGTTTACAAAGAGTAAGTATGGCAGCTTTCTCAAAAGTCTCATAATCCATAGTAGATTTAGATGAAAACAAGTCAGAGAAAAACAAGCACAAAACGGGGAATGAGTGAACGAAAATAAGTAAAAATTTCCATTACCATGTAAAGCTATAATGAAGAATTGATCTCTGGTTTTGGGGGCCATTGTGGAGTTTTGAGAGTATACCATGGGTGCAATGTGTATTAAACTGATATAGCCAAATCAAAACAAAAAAATCAGGTAGAACCAAACATTGCCAAGAAAAGTATGTATGAATGCACTCTTATCTGTAGGTACCATATTAAGAATATTGCAAGATGCAGTGACTTCCTGATAAAGGTGAACTTTAAAATAATAGTAAAAGAAATTAGGATGGTGGATACATGGAGATGCCCGAAGAAGCAATTCCAGATGTAAAGAATACAAATGTGAAATAAGCAGAATTATTTTGGAGAGAAAGGATTTGGATAAAACTAAACAAATGAAACTAACCAAGGGAGACATATAAATACAAAGAAATATGAATAGGCAAGGCCCACAGAGCTTTGAATGAGAGAACAAGTCATTGAGCAGAATCCAAGAATGTGAAGAAATGCAAGGAGGGAAATGACATTCAAACAAGGGAGGTAGGTCAAGAAAGACATTTCCTTGGCAGGAAATAGTCTACATTACGGAAAGGTTACTTTAAATATAACATTCTTGTATTTATTTTGTCACATGAGGGATTTTGTGCCTCATGTACCATAATGCTACTCTGCTTTGGATACATTAATATATGTACAGACAGGAGATACGATTTGCTACTTAGTTCGCAAAACATCTTCATCACACCTAGCAAGAGGAGCAAATCATTCTGGAAGGATGAAGGAGATGTTGGATGGGAAAACATAGATGCAGATAGGACAGTGGAAGAACTATAGTAGCTGACACACAGTGTTCACGGGACATGGAAAAAGGTTTTGCAGAAGAGCCAGAGAAGAAAGGCCATATTTGCAAGAAGAGAAATAATATAGCGCAGTGATTCTCAATCTTTTCTTCACCGCAAACCCCCTTTAAATACCTTTGTGGCCATGGACCATGGCCATGGGTCACCAGGGCTTAATTCATGATTTAAATCATAACCTTTCTTCAAGCCTTCACAGACCTCCTGTGACAACATCATGCTTCCTTCCCCACCCCCAGGAGTCTGCAGACCACAGGTTGAGAGGCACTGATATAGTGGTTTGAATATAGCAATAAAGAATAAAGAAATGCTCAAAAGGGAAAGCAAAACTGTATACCTGATCAAGAGTGCAGATGGCAACAGGGTGGACAGAGAGATTGTGACAAAATGAGACCTAAAAGACAAGAAATGTTGTGGCAGACCTAATGACAGAAAAAAAAAATACCAGGCTTGCAATGAGAGACGTGGAATAAAGAATCCCTGTAAAGAACAGCTAGATGTCCTCAATGTAGACATCAGAGGGATAAAGGTAAATGAAGGAAGATATAAATCTTG